CACACCTGACTAATTTTTGTATTTTTTTTTTTGTTTTTTTTTTTTTTTTGAGACGGAGTCTGGCTCTGCCGCCCAGGCTGGAGTGCAGTGGCCGGATCTCGGCTCACTGCAAGCTCCGCCTCCCGGGTTTATGCCATTCTCCTGCCTCAGCCTCCCGAGTAGCTGGGACTACAGGCGCCAGCCACCACGCCCAGCTAGTTTTTTGTATTTTTTAATAGAGACGGGGTTTCACCATGTTGGCTGTGGCTGGTCTCGAACGCCTGATCTCAAGTGGTTCACCTGCCTCAGCCTCCCAAAGTGCTGGAATCACAAGCGTGAGCCACCATGCCCAATCATCACATTCTTAAACAGAGAATTTTATTATTGAAACCAGTTAGTACATTGTTTCTTTTGGCAAAAGAATTTTGAGAATTGCTTCTAAATGAACAGAATGTGGATTTACATTGGTCAAAATATGACTCTTGCTGTCTATACCAGGACTTTAATTTTTGTGTCATGGATTATTGTTCTTCACAGGGATTTGGTAATGTGGGCCTACACTCTATGAGATATTTACATCGTTTTGGTGCTAAATGTATCGCTGTTGGTGAGTCTGATGGGAGTATATGGAATCCAGATGGTATTGACCCAAAGGAACTGGAAGACTTCAAATTGGTATTAATACATTTTTATGGCATAGACACTAAATATAAACATTTAAACTCTGGTACAGCTATTAATTGTGATTTTCAATCAATGGCAGCAACATGGGTCCATTCTGGGCTTCCCCAAGGCAAAGCCCTATGAAGGAAGCATCTTGGAGGCGGACTGTGACATACTAATCCCAGCTGCCAGTGAGAAGCAGTTGACCAAATCCAACGCGCCCAGAGTCAAAGCCAAGGTGACAACATTATAGAAACCGGAACCAACATTTTCAATGTGAATGACGTCAGGGGGTCATAGAAGAATCTGATTGAGTTTTCTCTTTCTTTTTAGCAGCTTTATTGGCATATATTATACGTACCATACACTTCCCCCATTTAAAGTAAATAATTTAATGGCTTTTAGCTTCCTGCACAGAGTTGTGCAACCATTACCAAAAAAAACGCATCTGCCTGACACGCCTGTAAAAAAAAAAAAAACAAAACCTAGATAAATAGAAAAGTAAAAGGTAGTTTTATACACTTTGCAGAGCAAAATAACTTCTATAAATTTAATTTTAACTGAAACTGTGCTTCTCCCCACATATGAACACATGTTCATTTATGCACATCTCTTGCCCTCAGTGGAGGGGATTTGATGGTGTTGTTGGCATTTCTCTATGTTCCTGACTCTCTTGCAGATCATTGCTGAAGGTGCCAATGGGCCAACAACTCCAGAAGCGGACAAGATCTTCCTGGAGAGAAACATGGTTATTCCAGTGGGTCATCTATATTTATTAGGCTTTATATGTATTTAGTAATTGTCTTTTGCAAGGAATTTGAAGGAAGAGAGGAATTATAAGTCACCTAAGCTCTAGTGAATTCATCTTTATTTCACTTTTTAGAAAATATAGTAGAAGCATGGTTAATTCTAAGCCTGTCACTTTTCACTGTGATCTAAACATTTATTCCAATTTCACGGTCTTTACTGAATGTCTTTAACCTTCTAAGAGTCTGGTTATAGAAATGTGTGCTGTGTTAGAAACACTATTCTAACTTAAGTTCTAAGATTTTCTGTATGATTCCTAACCTTATGCATTTCAAGTGCCCCTTCCGGCTTTACTCAGAAAACGAATATGAGGCACACATGCTCAGGTTTTTTAGCAGGTAAGCATGAGTCTACACCAAAAAGTTATTAGAAATTGGTGTGGGCTTGGGATGCATTTTAAAGAACCCCCTTTGCTGAAAGCACTTGAGACATTTAATGTAACTGAAATAGGCTACCCTTAGGTAATAGGAGAAAGAATCCTGTCTTCTGAGAGGCCCTGTGGACGGTCCAATCCAATTGGTTGGTGGGCAAGCCATTTAGTCTGAGAACTTCTGGTACAGAAGAGGCTCTAACCAAAGATGATTAACATTCATTGATTAATAAGCCAAACAATGATCTTTTTTTCCCTAAATAGAAAAAGCGTTAGATGGAATTTGGCAGGGTGGGGAGGAGTGTTAAATTAAGTGTGAAATTCCTGATACTAGCTAAAATATATTTGTGATAGTTGAAGTTCAGTCTACCTTGGTATTGAAATTAAGGTCTTAGGTTCATTTTAAGCTTTTGCTAAAACCATCGTCTTCTAATTTCTTTGGTGTCTTATTTTTGTGTATAGGATCTCTACTTGAATGCTGGAGGAGTGACAGTATCTTACTTTGAGTGGCTGAAGAATCTAAATCATGTCCGCTATGGCCGTTTGACCTTCAAATATGAAAGGGATTCTAACTACCACTTGCTCAGTGAGTGTCGATAATCTTGTTCACCAAAACTCATCTTTTGAGCCAGCTAAAAGGCTGTAAAAAGGTCCACTTAAGAGAACTTATCCCTTTGGGAAAGAATTGAGTCTTAGAAAAGAAAATAATATTTTGTCTCATGAAACTTTAGACCAAAAATGCACAATGTCTTTCTGGATATTAACTCTCCCATATACTTATATCCAGATTTTTATTCTGTGATGTAATGTTCGCAGAATATAATCTACAAATTAATTTTTTTTTTCCTTTTTTGAGACAGAGTCTCACTCTGTCGTCCAGGCTGGAGTGCAGTGGTGCGAACTCAGCTTACTGCAGCCTCCGCCTCCCAGGTTCAAGCAATTCTCCTGCCTCAGCCTCCCAAGTAGCTAGGACTATAGGCATATGCTGCCATAGCTGGCTAATTTTTGTATTTTTAGTAGAGACGGGGTGTCACCATGTTGGTCAGGATTGTCTTGATCTCCTGACCTCGTGATCCACCTGCCTCAGCCTCCCAAAGTGCTGGGATTACAGGCATGAGCCACCACGCCCAGCCAATAATATTTATTTAAGTGTGATTTTAAAACCCCACTGTCAATACTCAGTTCTGTCTCTGGTTGCTCTTAGTAAAGGCCTGTCTAGTGTCAAGAATTGTTTTTGAGACTCCTGATGAGAATACTTGCCTTTCTTTGACTAGAGTAACCTCCACAGTTAAGAGTAGAATTTCTCATCAAGCTGAAATAAGACCAAGACCTCCTACTGAGCTTCTCTACTCAGCCCACTGTGAGAATCTGGGTGAAGTGTTCCATCTGTTTCCTTTTCTTTTTCCCCCAGCATTTTCTTTTTAATAGAGCCAAGGAAAAACCCTGGTAATGGGTGTTATGGAAACAGAGCAGTGACCTAAATCCACATTTATATAGGAAATTGGCGATGTGTTTTATTCCTTCTTGACTGAGTTTTTTTTTTTTTTTTTTTTGAGACAGTTTCATTCTTGTTGTCCAGGCTAGAGTGCAGTGGCACAATCTCAGCTCACTACAACCTCTGCCTCCCTGGTTCAAGTGATTCTCCTGCCTCAGCCTCCCAAGTAGCTGGGATTACAGGCAGGCATCACCGTGCCCAGCTAATTTTGTGTTTTTAGTAGAGGCAGCATTTCACCATGTTGGTCAGGCTGGTCTCAAACTCCTGACCTCAAGTGATCCACCTGCCTCAGCCTCCCAAAGTGCTGGGATTACAGGCGTCAGCCACCGCGCCTGGCCCTTCTTGACTGAGTTTTAAGTGATTAACGCTTTTATGTCATTAGAACTCTCTGTACATTTTTGGGTTACAGTTATTGTTTGGGACTACTTTTGATTCTACTTCATTTTTCTTTTCTCTTAGCAATATCTTGATCTCTCTCTCTCTCTTTTTTTTTTCCCATAGTGTCTGTTCAAGAGAGTTTAGAAAGAAAATTTGGAAAGCATGGTGGAACTATTCCCATTGTACCCACAGCAGAGTTCCAAGACAGGATATCGGTGAGTGTGCTCACCCCACAGTTGTACTTTACACATGCTCCCTGCTCTCTTGTTCAGGCAGAGCTGGTTAGATGGATTTCATTTATGGCATAGTCTTTGTAATTAGCTTTACAGTAAGTGTGTGACATGTGTGTTTTTTACCTTCCCTTTTCATTACATTCTAAAACTGGAGTAAGAATCCTAATGACTACTGACAAATTTAAAATAAATAAATTTGGTATTTTTCACACACATGTTTTAACAGTGAAGGATTATTATGTACTTTAATTATTTTAAGCTTCAGAGAAATAGGAAGAATTGAAAAGTAAGCATTAGATCGAACTATATGGGAGTCCAAGAGTTTGAGACCAACCTGGGGAACATAGCAAGTCCCCATCTCTATAGAAAGAAAGCAAGAGGCCAGGCTCGGTGGCACACACCTGTAATCCCAGCACTTCGGGAGGCCAAGGCTGGGAGATCACGAAGCCAAGAGATAGAGAGCATCCTGGCCAACGTGGTGAAACCCCGTCTCTACTAAAAATATAAAAATTAGCCGGGTGTGTTGGCACTCACCTGTAGTCTCAGCTACTCGGGAGGCTGAGGCAGGAGAATCACTTGAACTTGGGAGGTAGAGGTTGCAGTTAGCCAAGACTGTGTCACTGCGCTCTAGCTTGGGCCACAGAGAGAGACTCCGCACCCCTCCTCCACAAAAAGAAAAGAAAGGAGGGAGGGAGGATAAAGGGAGGGAGGGATGGAGGAAGGAAAACTTCTTTACCAGTAAATGATGGAAGACATGAAAAACAAAAGTCCATAGCACATAAACCTGGGGAAAACATTTATCCTCATTGTTAGAGAAATACAAAGTTAAAAAGGGTTTTTAAAAATATATTAACAAAAACAATGAATGGATCTTATGTTCACCATGTATATGGTGAAATAGTTGTACCTATATTGTAGTGACAGTGCACATTGGTGCAGCTCTTTGGAAAATGTGAAGTTATTAAAGCACCTGCCCTTTGGTGCTATGATAATCTCCCCTCTGGGAATTTATCCTAAGAAAATAATTCAAAAGAGTAGGAACCACTCCATGCACGATAATGCTATTGAAACTATGTGTAGGCCAGATGTGGTGGCTCATGCCTCTAATCCCAGCATTTTGGGAGACCAAGGCAGGTGGATCACCTGAGGTCAGGAGTTCGAGACCAGCCTGGCCAACATGGCAAAACTCCATCTCTACTAAAAATACAAAACTAGCTGGGAATGGTGGCACATGTAGTCCCAGCTGCTTGGGAGACTGAGGCAGGAGAATTGCTTGAACCCAGGAGGCGGAGGTTGCAGTGAGCCAAGATCGTCCCGTTGCACTCTAGCCTGGGCAATAAGAATGAAACTCCATCTCAAAAAAAAAAGAATCTATGTGTAGATAGTTTTAAAATTTGGTTTCATTTAAAGTCCAGGGGCAGGAAAATGGCTGAGTTATATCTTATAATACATCTTCTTAGGAAATATTCAGTCATAGTTTAAGAATATATTGTAATGACTAAGTTATATCTTATGAAATATTCAGTAATGGAAAATAGTTCTGAGACTATATTGCAACATGGGAAAAAGTTAAAGGTTTTGTTTAAAAGAAAGAAAAAATGCTTTAGCCATTCTAGGTACTAACTGTTCCCCTCAGTAAACTTTCCTCTTTCCTAGAGTGATGATATCTTTGTTCTGGTCCTTCTATCTGGAATACACACATTCCCTCCCTGCTTAAGTGTCACTGCAGTTCTGTGGCTGTCTCTGAAAGTCTCCTGTGTGCCACTGTTTCATACATGACATCCATCCCGAGTGGCTAGTAGTACATTGGAAGGGCTTGCGCGCTCTCCTACATCAGCAGTTTTCCCTCCTGAGTCATTCCCCTCAGCTTACCAAATGCTGTTTTAAAAAATGTATAAATCTTAATCCCACTTCCCCTCCCAGTACTGCCATTTGTTTCCTGTACAGCAAACCTCCTTGGAAGCGTTGTATATACTCAGCCTCCAATTCTTCTTTACTTGAACCTACTCCACCAAGACTATTCTTATCAAGACAGCCAGTGACACCAGCATTGCCAAATCCAGTAGCTATTTTCAGTCCTCATCTTGCTTACCTATCAGCAGTTCTTGTCACAAATGACACTCCCACCTTGAAACAATTTCTTCTCTTAGCTTCCAGGATACCACCTTCTCCTGGTTTTCTTCCTACCTCACTGAACATTTCTTCTCTATTGCCTCTTGCTGGTAACTCTTCAACTCTCCACTCTCCTAACATTGGAAGGCCTGAGTCCCTAAACAACTTCTCTATCTAGATTGAAAACTTCAGTGATCCACTTAACCTCATGGTTTTAAGACTATGTATATACAACTCTCTTCCCACTAGAATATAAAGTCTGTGAGAGCAGAATTTTGATTTTATTCTGTAGGGTCCCCAGTACCTGGAAGAGTATGTAATCAATAAGTGTCCAAACTACATCAGTGACCCATTTTAAGTTGTTATTGGGCATATGTGTTTTGTGGCTCTGTATGTCACCTTAAGAGTGGTAGTGAGTTAATTGTCCTTAATTTTTTAGAAAGCATTCCAAGAAAGAAATTAGGAAAGAGAGAAGCTGACTTGATGGTGGAGGCCCTGAGTCATACAAAATGGAGCATTCTACCAGGGTATGTGTGCAGATGCTCTTTGCCTTCCTGCCAGTCACATGAAGTGCAACTCAACCGTGTTATCTCAGCCACCAGACTGTGTGTGCTGATAGAAAATGGCAATCTGGGCCGGGCACAGTGGCTGACACCTGTAATCCCAGCACTTTGGGAGGCTGAGGTGGGCGGATCTCAAGGTCAGGAGATCGAGACCATACTGGCTAACACGGTGAAACCTCTTTTCTACTAAAAATACAAAAAATTAGCCAGGTGTGGTGGCGGGCGCCTGTGGTCCCACCTACTCGGGAGGCTGAGGCAGGAGAATTGCTTGAACCTGGGAGGCGGAGCATGCAGTAAGCCGAGGTCGCGCCACTGCACTCCAGCCTGGGCAGCAGAGCAAGACTCCCTCTCAAAAAACAAAAAAGAAAATAGCAGTCTGTTCAATGCTCCTCATTTGTGTGTAGCAAAACACGTGCTTTTTCAGTCTCAGATGATGAGCAATTTTTTTAGAGTCTTCAAATACGTTTATGAGGCTTTGGAAAGAAATAATAAGGCTCATTTAGGAGGTAATGACATTGGCGGCTAGCCCAATATCGAGTAGTTAGCCAAATTGGGTTGTAGCTCAGTGCGCCACTATGTTATAGCTATAGGAAGCTACCTTACTGTAGAATTTGGTATAAGCAAAAGTCACTTTGACTGCTTGATCCCTACTTTAAGGCCTCAACCACAGTTTGAGTCCCGTTTTCCTAATTTCTTCTTGGGTTCAGATTCTATCTGCTTGGATTTATGATGAAATAGCATAAGCAGATATTGATGATGAAGGTGGTGCTTAGTGCTATTGTTTTTCTTGTTAATTTTTGATTGAGATAGGGTTTCTGTGGTATAAATTCATCTTTTTAAAGTATACAATTTGGCATCCTTTATTATATATACTAGCCATCACCACTATAGAATTCTAGAACATTTTCTTCATCCTCTTCTTTTTTTGTTTTTTTGAGACGGAGTCTTGCCCTGTTGCCCAGGCTAGAGTGCAGTGGCGCAATTTCAGCTCACTGTAACCTCCGCCTCCCGAATTCGAGCAATTCTTGTCCCTCAGCCTCCGAAGTAACTGGGATTACCGGTGTGAGCCAACATGCCCAACTAATTTTTGTTTTTGTTTTGTTTTGTTTTTTGAGATGGAGTCTCGCTCTGTCGCCCACCTGGAGTGGTGCAATGGTGCGATCTCGGCTCACTGCAACCACCGCCTCTTGGGTTCAAGCAATTCTCCTGCCTCAGCCTCCAGAGTAGCTGGGATTACAGGCATCCACCCCAACGCCTGGCTAATTTTTTTGTATTTTTAGTAGAGATGTGGTTTCACCATGTTGGCCAGGCTGGTCTTGAACTCCTGACCTCAAGTGATCTGCCAGCCTTGGCCTCCCAAAGAGCTGGGATTACAGGTGCGAGCCACCGTGCCCGGCCTAATTTTTATATTTTTAGTAGAGATGTGGTTTCACCATGTTGGTGAGTCTCGTCTTGAACTCCTGACTTCAAGTGGTCTGCCCACCTCAGCCTCCCAAAGTGCTGGGATTACAGGCGTGAGCCACTGCACCCAGCCACCCCATTGTTAAGTCCAGAGAATTAGGCCCTCCTGCCTAGAGGTTCTGCTGCTACAGTAGTTTGTCTTTGGCTGCCCAAGTCCTGCCTTGAAACACTGAGAAGGTAACTTGGACCAGGCCTGTCTGGGCCTTGTGTGTTTTGGGCCTGGCCCCTTGAGTCAGGATTATCTTCACTGCATTTTCTCTTTCTTTTCAGCAAATTGTGTGCACAGCCATGAAGTATAACCTGGGATTGGACCTGAGAACAGCTGCCTATGTCAATGCCATCGAGAAAGTCTTCAAAGTGTACAATGAAGCTGGTGTGACCTTCACATAGATGGATCGTGGCTGACTTCCTCACTACCCTCTTCACCTGTAACTTCTGCAGACCTATCACAAGTTTACATGTAACCACAGAAATCCCTTTCTCTCCTGACTCAGTAATAATGGATACCATTCTCAACAAGTCAATCCAAATCAGGGGCTGGATTTGGATTGTGAAGGATTTTGGAAGTGAAGGAGAAAGAAATTAAGGTTAGGGGATCATGTACAAGCTGAGTGTGAAAGTAGAAATCCCTACACCAGAGAGCCATTTGGGTATTTTGCCTTTAAATAAAAAGTCTCCTCCATCTGGCTGTGCAGCCTTGCTCTGTGGCTTTTCCCAACACAATCAGTGCTGTTGCTGGGGAAGGGACAGGCAAGAGCAGTCAGTTGCTTGCTTATTTTGCTCTGGATGAGTCTGGGACACGCTGTAACTTTAGCACATTTAAGAAGTAGGTGTGTGGCCTTTTCAGAAGGTGGCATGGTCCTCAAGTGAGTTCTTAGTATTTTATATCAGCAAAATAACTCAATTTTGCAGGTTACAAATATAAAAGCTGTTTCTGTTTATGAATTCTATTCTTTTAGAATAAAATAAGTACATGCTGCTGTAATAAAATTGCCTTTAATCACTTAACAAGCCTAACCTTGACTCAAACAGTGAATGCCTATAAAAATAATAAATTAAAAAAACTAGTATCATAAAACAGTGTCATTTATAGCCTGTCAGTCATGTATTGTTGTCCAGCAAACATTAAAAGCCTTGTGGATAATTAAGTTTTCTTCATACCTGCAAAATGGTGGAGGCTATTTTTGTTAAAACTGTCAGAATTTGCTAACTGTAATTGACACATAGTCCAAAGAATGCAGTGACCTTTTTATCATGTTAACTAATTGTTTTCTTTGGAAGATCTATGGTTGACTAATTAAACAGTAATTCAAGTAGAGTGTCACAGAAAAAAACCACTTGGGCTCCCTGTTTGGAGTCTGGCTGGCTCTGAGCTTTGCCAATGGGCCCTACTCACCTGACTTTGTGTCCTCTCCTTTTAGAGGTTTTCCATTCTGCACCCAGCTTCGCTAACAGTGGACTGAAAACAACCTTGGGTTGAGTGTTTTGTTTGGGAGTTATTTGGCCAGAGCCTTTTGAACAGTAGTGTCCCCATGAAGTGCTAAATAATAATATGTGTAAGAATGAGGTTTTTTTTTTCTTTTAACTGTAACACCCTTGAGAAATTTCTAACTACTTTGTAACTGCATGGTGATAAAAGCAAGTATTAAAAGTCTACGTTTTCCAAAACTTATGTTTCTTTTCTGTGTTTTTACATGTGGTAGTTTCTCTTTTCATAAGTTATAATACTGCAATTGGATTTCTGAAATGTTTATAGCGCCCACCCATATAATATTTCCTTCCACTTTATTGTGAGCTGCCCAGACTTTTATTCTTGAATTTTTTTTTTCCCCAGTGCTCTACATGTTCCGAGAAACTTCCCTAGTAACGAAGTATAGAAATGATCCCTGAAAGCATATCTTTATTCTCAAATTATTTTGTATTTTATTAAATAATATCAACAACTGTTCTTGAGGAAGAGGCTCCAATGTTTAAAGCCAATATACTGAAGTAACTTTTAGTGCCATTTTTCACTAAAGGAGATTTTATGTGGAATAATTTAGCCACAGAATAACAACTATTGAAGAGAGAATACTAACTGTAATCAGAACTGAATTCTAGAGTTCATTCCACCAGTTACTTAACTGCCAATGTGAAGCCTGACTTTCATTGGTCTTTGTCTGTGTTTCACAGTGCAGCCTCTGCATGCTCCTGGCATCGGGACAGTCAGATAAACAGGCCCCCAGTATATGGGCATAGTGAGCCCTTCCCCAGCATCATGGAGTGTATCTGCACTCTAGGTGGGCTACTAAAATGTGTAAGGGGAAAAGTGATACAAAAACCAGTTCCAGAATGTTCAAATAACAATGAGTGGGGCAGCAGATTCAAGTCATGTGAATGTGGGATAAGTCTTAGTGGTGGTCTTTGACTATATATTGGAAATACTGATTTTTTTTTTGTTAGTGGGGGTGGTTTTTGTTTTTTGAGACAGTGTCTTGCTCTGTCACCCAGGCTGGAGTGCGGTGGTACAGTCATGGCTCACTGCATCCTCTACCTCCTGGGCTCAAGCAGTTCTCCTGCCTCAGACTACTGAGTAGCTAGGACCACAGGTATGGGTACTACACCTGGCTAATTGTTTTTATTTTTTGTAGACATGAGGTCTCCCTATGTTGCCCAGGCTGGTCTCACACTCTTGAGCCCAAGTTATCTTCCCGCCTTGGCCTCCCAAAGTACTAGGGTTACCGGCATGCCTGGCCAATAGTAATTTTTTAAAGATTAATGTCGAGGAGTATTCTTGATAGTAATATTAAAAAACTAAATTGCCTGTGCTAGCTATACGAAGATGAGAGCATTAGTGTCAGTAATTTTGACTCCTGCATCCTGAATGTTTTAGTTTTCAAAAATCTAGTCAATTACTCTTTTTACCTTGACAGAAATTTTCTTTTTTTTTTTTTTTGAGACGGACTGTCGCTTTGTCACCGAGGCTGGAGTGCAGTGGCGTGATCTCGGCTCACTGAAACCTCCGCCCCCTGGGTTCAAGCAATTCTGCCGCCTCAGCCTCCCAAGCACCTGGGACTGCAGGTACGTGCCACCACGCCCAACTAATTTTCTTGCATTTTTAGTAGATGTGGGGTTTCACCACATTGGCCAGGCCAGTCTCAAACTCCTGACCTCAGGTGATCCACCAACCTCAGCCTCCCAAAGTGCTGGGATTACAGGCATGAGCCACTCTGCCCAGCCTATTTACAGTTATTTTCAAAACTCACACACGATAATCAAGTTACTTACTTCTGAAATAGCCATAGATGACTTATATAGCACCTGAAGAAGACTTAACTGTTGCTTTATGAGCCTCTACACCAGAGTGTATTCTAATTACCCTGATTAAGGAGATGAAAAGTAAAGGCATGATTTTTCAGTGCTTCTCTCACCTTAACTAGTAGGATTGGTAATTACTTTTAAATTTATTTTTCCTTTTTTTTTTTTTAATCCCAGATTCTAGCCAAAGAGCTGATTTACTTTTTTAAAAAAAGCCTGGCATCTTAACTTACAAGCAAGTGAATTCCATATTCTCTAAACATCCCTGGCAGGCTTTCCCAGCCCTGCTGTTTGTTAAGGTAGTCAAAGCGTGGCACATGAAGAAAACTACATCTGTGGGTCGGACGCGGTGGCTCACGCCTGTAAATCCCAGCGCTTTGGGAGGCCAAGGCGGGCGTATCACCTAAGGTTGAGAGTTCGAGACCAGCCTCAACAACATGGAGAAACCCCGTCTCTACTAAAAAATATACAAAATTTGCTGGGCGTGGTGGTGCATGCCTGTAATCCCAGCTACTCAGGAGGCTGAAGCAGGAGAATCGCTTGAACCCGAGAGGCGGAGGTTGCAATGAGCTGAGATTGCGCCATTGCACTCCAGCCTGGGCAACAAGAGCGAAACTCCATCTCAAAAAAAAAAAAAAAAAAAGAAAACTACACCTGTGGATATTGTACAAAAGATTGTTTTTATGATTTTTAAATTTTTTTAAACATAACTGTTGTTGACTTGTATTTGTATTTTTATCAAAACATACTTCATTTATGTATTTATTTTGCGATGAAATCTCAATCTGTCACCCAGGCTGGAGTGCAGTGGCACAATCTTGGCTCAGTACAACCTCCACCTTCCAGGTTCAAGTAATTCTGCCTCAACCTCCCGTGTAGCTGGGATTACAGGCATGCACCACCATGCCCGATTTTTTGTGTTTTTTTTTGTTTTTTTTTTTGAGACAGAGTCTCAATCTGTCGCTCAGGCTGGAGTGCAGTGGCATGATCTGGGCTCACCACAAGCTCCGCCTCCTGGGTTCACGCCATTCTCCTGCCTCAGCCTCCCGAGTAGCTGGGACAACAGGTGCCTGCCACCACGCCCGGCTAATTTTTGGTATTTTTAGTACAGATAGGGTTTCACCTTGTTAGCGAGAATGGTCTCGATCTCCTGACCTTGTTATCTGCCTGGGATTACAGGCGTGAGACACCACACCCTGCCGGCTTATTTTTGTATTATTAGTAGAGACAGGGTTTCACCATGTTGGCCAGGCTGGTCTCAAACTCCTAACTTCAGGTGATCCACCTGCCTCAGCCTCCCAAAGTGTTGGTATTAAAGGCATGAGCCACCACACCCAGCCTCAAACATACTTTAGACAGTTTTTCACCTCAGCACTATTGACATTTTAGGCTATGTCTGCCTTTTAGGCTCTCTCTGCCTTGTAGGATGTTTAGTAATATCCCTGGCCTCTACACATTAGATGTCAGGAAGATCCCTCGGTTATAACAATGACAAATATATTCAGATTGCCAAATGTCCCCTGTGGAGCAAATTCGTCCCTTGTTGTGAACTGTGATCCAGAGAGCCAAATAGGGATACAAGGTTTATTGTTCACAATAGCTCGTCCCCTCCAATCCAGACACCACCTGCCTCACCATTTTCCACTGCCCAGAGGCAACCACTTTCAACAATCTTAAATGTCTCATTTTTATTCTATTTAAAGCCTTTGCTCATTTTTAAATTGGGTTTTGTCTGTATTATTGAGTGGTAAGTGTTCTTCCCATATTCCACATCCAGTTGTGGTATAGGTCTATGGTTCCAGCTACTCAGAAGGCTGAGGCAGGAGGATCACTTGAGCCCAGAAGTTCAACACTAGCCTAGGCAACATAGGAAGACCTATCTCTAAATGAATTTTTGAAATATATATCTTCTAGATAATTGACCTTTAACATGTATATAATTTGCAAATATTTTCTCTCTGTTAGTTGTCTTTGCACTTTCTTGATAGTCTCCTTTTTAATCTTGAGAAAGCATAATTTATTTTTCTTTTGGTTGGTGTGCTTTAGGTTGTATGTAAGAAACCATTGCCTAATCCATAGTCATGCAGATATATCCCTGTCTTTTTTTTTTTTTTTCTTTTGGGACGGTCTCACTCAGATGTCCAGGCTGGAGTGCACTGGTGTGATCTCACGGCTCATGGCTAAGTGCAGCCTTTACCTCCTAGGCTCAAGCAATCCTCCCCCTTCAGCCTCCCAAGTAGCTGGAACTATAGGCACATACCACCACCAAGCACAGCTAATTTCTGTATTTTTGGAGAGATAAGGTCTTGCCATGTTGCCCAGGCCAGTCTTGAACTCCCAGGCTCAAGCAATCCCCCCACCTTGGCCTCCTAAAGTGCTAGAATTACAGGTTTGAGCCACTGTGCCTGGCCTATAAAGATTTTTTTAAGAAATAGTGACCAGGCCGGGCACGGTGGCTCACGCCTATAATCCCAGCACTTTGGGAGGCCGAGGTAGGCAGATTAAGAGGTCAGGAGATTGATACCATCCTGGCTAACACAGTGAAACCCTGTCTCTACTAAAAATACAAAAAATTATCAGCTGGGGGAGGTGGTGGGTGCCTGTAGTCCCAGCTACTGGGGAGGCTGAGGCAGAATGGGTTTACCCCAATCCCTGCAGTGAGCCGAGATCACGCCACTGCACTCCTGCCTGGACAACAGAGCGAGACTCGGTCTCAAAAAAAAAAAAAAAAAAATAGTGACCAAAAATATCCCACATTTGATGGGAGTTGTGAATCTACACATTCAAGATGCTCAACAAATTCAAATCAGGGTAAACTCAAAGAGATCCACACTGAGACACATTATAATCAAATTGTAGAAAGTTAAAGACAGAAACGCCCCAAGAGATAAGTGATTCATCCTGTACAAGGGATCTTCAGTAAGATTAACAGTTGCTTATCAGAAATCACAGAGCACAGAAGGCAGTAGGATACTTCTTCCCCTCTCTCCCACTGATAGATGATATATTAAAAATACTGACAGGA